CAGAGGTGGAAAAAATAGGGCTCACCAATAATGCCTGAGTTATTGGAGAAGTGAGTTTGCCATATTTGCATCAGGTCCAGGATCCTGGCTGGTATCAGATTGCCAGTTCACAGGAGAAAGTATCAGGACAGCATTCCCTGTTAGGGAGCCAATGTTGTCATTAAAAGTGGCATGAAGAAAGTAGTGACATGCAACAAGGTTCACATAAGACATTTATTGCAAGAGAAGGGAGAAGGGCACAAAGTCAGGGGCAGAGAGTGGAACAGAGATGGGTCCAGAGGTACAAGATTGGCAGAAGAGAAAATAGAAAATGAGAGAGGGAGAGGGCAAGGCAGAGGTAGAGTGAGAGGAGGGAGAGGGGGATATATATTGAGAGAGAGAGACAGAGAGGGAGAGAGAGAGAGAGAGAGAGAGAGAGAGAGAGAGAGAGAGAGAGAGAAAGTGGGCTAGGGCAACCTTTAAAAAGGGAACATAGAAAATGTGCACAGAGGGGGCTCTTAGTGGCAGCAGCTGAGAAAGCATCCTGTCAGGAACACAAGGGCAGGCAAGACAGATGCCTCCATACTAACAATGACAGCATAGCCCAGAGTAGAGGGTCTAGTCCCAGGTTATATCCCAAATTATAGCAATCAGTCAAAAGCTCATGTTAAGAATGATGAACCAAGGATCTTCTTTCAGGCACCTTGATAATTGTTGTAGTAACTAATTTCAAAATGTCATTTCCCATGCAGATATTTTCTAGAGAGGGAGAGAGAGGATGTCATTCTTGTAGGTCTCTGGAAATCTCCCTAGTGCCAGATCTCTTCTTACCTAAAATGGCTCTAATATATAGAGATACCTCTAATATGGTATCTCTCATCTTGATCTCCTCTATTTGTCCCCCAACTCAATATTTCTGCTCCTCCATTTCCTCCTCTCCTCTCCTCTTCTCCTGCTGTCATTCTGGCAGCTGCCTCTCCCCTACCCTCATTCTCCCAATTAGCTCAGGAGTTCTTGCCCCTTCCTATTCCTGGGGTCCATGCATTTATCCCCTAGAGTCCTTCATGTTTCCTAAATTATTTGGTGAAGAGGATTGTAGGCTGGCAATCCTTTGCCCTATGTATAAAATTCACATATGAGTGAGTACATACCATGTTTGTCTTTTTTTGCCTGGGTTACGTCACTCAGGATGTTTTCTTCTAGTTCTATCCATGAAAATAATAATGAAAAATAGTTCCATAAATAGCATCTCATGTGGTTTTAAGCCAAATGTCCAAGGAGTGTAATACCATGAGCTATCAAAGAAACTTGCCTATTATCTGACTGCTTGGCTGTACTTTTCTGCTGAGTGTTTACTATCATATATCTGTACAAAATTAATCATATTTATTTATTGTTTCTTACTGTGTGGCAACTTAATGATTTGTTCCTTAACTGTAATTTGGGCTTGAGAAGAACCTTGGGATCTTTAGCTTTTCTTCTTTCAAACCAAGTTTTTGATAATTATGAACATACCTCAAAGGCCTTGCTTGTCTCTTGCATTGCCTGTCATGTACATAAGAAAGTTTTCTGTAGTTTTCACCCTCTTCTTTGTAAGTTAAAGACCATGTGGGTATTCCATGGCCTCTCTGAAAAAGAGAAAAAATACAGAATATGTTGGGAGATGTTTCACAGTGTCCTTGGACATACTTGACCTTGGAAGGTCCTTCTCCATTCCAATCCCTCCTAGTATATTAGTACAACCATCAAGTATGGTTATTCAACAACCAGAAGGTCAGCCATATCAGACTGTTATTTTATCCACTGTGTAATACTTAGGTAAAAAAAAGGAGAAAATCTAAAACCCAAACACTTTCAACTTTGATTCTTTAAGCCAGTTCCTATAATTACTAGGAAGTGGGCCAATAATTCCATTCATTTGTTCAGAAGTTTGCATACCTTATTTAATTTGCTCAGGTCTTTGTCTTGGGAGACATGATAACATTAGTGATCAACAAGCCAAGCTGTGATGATCTTTTGCAAGTTGTTACAGCTGCCAAGGCAGTTGTTTTACTTAGAAGATAGTGCTATATAATAGTACTTGAATAAAATATTGTTGAAACCTAATATATAAAATAATATTACCTGTGTGCATACTGGTAAACTGTGAGTCTTTGTAAGTTCTTACACAAAACACAGGCAGTCTTTATACCATGAATAGAGTGATCTACTATGTCAGTGCTTTTGGAGTGAATGAGTGTAAACTGCAGGTTCAAAAAAAGCTGAAACTAGTGGTTTACACTGCACAAGTGACCTGCCATTGAGACCAGTGAAGACTGGATGGAGCCAACACACTTTCCCCTCTGTAACCAGTACAAATTTGGCAAGTATATTCTAATTTAGAGGGTTGTGGATTGGAAAATACGGATTGGCAAACTTTCTATTTAGAAACTTGAAACCTTATAAGGATACTGGGGGAGTGGTAGCAAACACCCATGAGCAAAGAAGGTCAAGACATTAGAACTATCTACTTTATCAATATCTGCTCTGTGGCCCCAGCTAGATTTCTCCTGAACAAATGTTTGGTGGTATGTAATACATTTTGGTATCTGTAGGCTCAACTAAACAGAAAGCTCTGTGAAATTTTGTAAGTCAAGTGTATGGGAAGTCAGTTGAGTGGAGGATTCTTGGAGTCAGTTTTTACCACCTTCAATGAGCTAGAGGTTGAAAAGAGTATTTTGAACTCCTGGGGCAGGTTTTCACATTCTCTACCCTCACTCCCTTATCCTCAAGGACAGGTATATTTAGTTTTTCAACAGGGAGCAGCTACTTCAGTTTAGTCTGTCATGGAAAAGTCCTTTGTTTTCCATGCCTGAGGCATGACTCAGACCCTTGCCATCTCCCTGTTCCCTCCTTTTGTCTTCCATAAATGATCATATTGCAATCTTGCTCTGATTTAGAGACTCAGGCACAGATTGCCCACAGATCCATTTATATTCCAAGATATTTATGATGCCACCAGTTCACAGAACTCTTGATTTACCATAAAGCACTGAAGCTGGGAGAGATACTATAAGTCTTATTTGCTGAGCTTACTGAGCACATGCCCTGCAGATTCTGTTCCATTCCAGCCTCACACGATCCCAAACTAGGTTGGGATATTTCCTGTGATCCCTAACTCACACAAGTTCATAGAGATGGAGACAGATCCAGATTGAGAAATGAGGCAGGTAGGCTCCAGCCTATTAGCTTATTGTAGAAATTACTAATGGTATACTATGGGAAGCACAGAAGCCATCATTAATATTTCTGATTCTGGGAATCAACCACTTTCTTCTTCAGAAAGAGTGACTTACAGAAACTTTAGAGAGGGGCTTAGAATCAAACAGTTTCTAATCCAAGGGAGAGAACCAGGGCACAAATACAAACATTAATAGATCAGTATTCAGTATTTGGGATTCACTCATGCTCTTCTGGGCTCTAGAGTGCTTGGGCATCTCTATTTTTCTGGCCCCACTCTTCCCATCATGCTTTGTTTGTCTTATAGGCTCAGTCAGATTTCAGGGCCCAAGAGTTTAGACTCTTCTATGTCTGCTGGTCCTACAGCAGTGACTGGTTACTGTTGTGTCTAATGTTCCCCCTGTTTCACTGCCCTGGCAGCACTTCCTTCTGTGAAAAACACTTTTCAGGAGTGATTGGACAACACAGAAATCTGCAACAACTTCTTAAGTTCCACTTAGCAAAAAAGTGGTCCATCTTCTCCACAAAACATGCCAGAATCTGCTCAAAGCTCTGGAGATTTATTTAGCTTAAGGGACAGCAAACAAAATATCTTGTATTCCTTTAGTAAGGCCCATGAATGAGGGAGATCCAGACCATGCTGACTACTACCTCATCAGTAAACAAAAGAAGATACATTGGAACATCTTGTGACGTTTTTCTTCCTCTGCAGAGAATACTTTGGCCATTTCACCAAGATGGAGATGAGTACTGTATCCTATTTCTCACTAGAAAGAGCAAGGCATTGTGTTCTGATTATTTATTCTTACTGAATTGAGAGGTGACTCTTTAATACCCTATTATGTTACTGAATTCGTAATCTTATCTTGCATGTGTAAAATTCACTGTTTGGAACATTCTCAGGAGTCAATGTTTCCCCAGACATATAAATGACAAAACAAAAACCAGGAATACTCAGTGCTTAATGAGGTAGAAAGGGAAGCAGACACCAGGGGGAAAAGAGAGAAATTAGACTTGGAGATGCTGTGCAGAAAGAGCAGGCATTACTACACAGTACAGCTCTCATCCCCATGCTCCTACCCAAGCAACCGGATCAATCATTGCCTCCAGATTACTGATCCTGGAAATCTATGATCCTGAAGCACAGAATCATTTTATTTCTTACACTGACTGTTCAGTGGTAGGGATGGGACACGGACTCTAGTATGTTTCCTTCTAATACTGAGCACCACCCACAGTTCTGAAGCCAAGCTATTGGCATTCTCTTTTCTGCTCCCAGGCAAGCATCTCTATTTAGCTATTCTCAGCTCAAGTATCCCAGAGACTTGTGCGGGGTGAAGAAGCTATCAGAGGAGAAGTTAGCTTCCCTATGGATCTTTTCCAGGTGCATTGAGTGGGGAGTTTCCCTCTTCCACACTCTCCACAGCTTATCATTTCCACTTGAATCCTGTTTACTATATCTGTTGGCTGGAGAGTGCAGCAGAAGCCCTTGCCCTGGTTCCCAAAGTTGAAAACACCTTTCTTCATGCTCTTTCAGAGCCCAAGCACCTAATATCCATACTTTTACTAGAGGTGGGAGATGACTGAATTTCCCCTAATGCAGTTTTGGATGAATTTGATTTAGTGATGAAGAGGCCTTGTAGTGCCACTGGGTCATGGTTGTTTATAACTCCATATCTAAGATTTTTAGTCATGGTTAGGACCTTGAGAAGAATTCATCTCCAATCCTAGATGACAAAAACCTTGGCATATAACTGGGATGATTGTAGATTTTTAGGGAATTGCCAAGTTCATCCTCTAGCATGGACAAAGAGTTGAATGACTGCAAAAACAGACCAAGCTGTGGAGAAGGGAACAGTGACAGTGTTGTACAGTCAGGATTAGTGAAAACTGAAGGTCTGCTAAATAGATTCTGGCTTGGGTATTTTACAAGGTCCTTGAGAATCCTATTTTCCCTGTTGTTTCCACGTTGATTCCCACACCTGTGCCTTGTAGATGCTTCCTCTTGCAGAAATTTCGAGGATGAAGAAGTCACAGACTCAGGAAGCCTGGTTTGACTCTCCTTGTCTACCCATGTTCCTTTAACCCTGCTTCAGTTCCTTCTCTGGAAGAAACAGTTTCATTCCTGAGTCCTTCTGCAGTACATGGTCATGCCCATTAGGGGGCAGTAATGAGCTGATCTTGAGAGGACATTGCTTTTGGCAAGACCAAGTCATTCAGAAATCACTACTTCTTCCTTAACATATTTGCACATGTGGTGATACCACTGAGGAGTATTACTCAAGAGCTTCTACTACTCTGCAGCCTACTTACTGATCCTTTGTCCAATTGGCCACATGAGTAGTAAACTCATAACTGTTTTATACTTCCTCTTTTATCTCAATGAAGTCATTGCCCAGCAAGTAGTTTTACTAACAAAACAATATTTTGATTTCATGAACTGTACCTATTTAGTATATAATAATGACACAGAAACTAAACATTATCAAGTTCAATAGCTAAGTGTCAGCATATGCAATTTTATATCTTCTTCTGTATTACTACATTCTTTGAACACTACAATTTTTCAACTATTAGATATGGGAATCCATTAGAGTATAAGTTTGAGATTTCAGCAGCTGCATTTTCACTGCATCGCTACACTTAGTATGTGGACAGCAGATGGTAGATAATCTCTGTATTGACAGTGTGGACATAGGTGCTAATGTCTGGGCATATGAGGAACCCAAGTGGTCATCTGATCCCCTAGTTCAGAAAATAATGGTTATGCTGTGTCTGGAATGGCTGAAGGAATGAAAAACACTTTTGCTGTAGGAACAGCAGGCATTTTTAACTGCTAAAACAAATTCTTACCTTCAATCTACTAACAAATTCTTTTGTGGAAATGCCCACCATTACATCCACTGGTCTTGTAGAGTAAAAAAAAAAAAGTGCCTCTCAAACCAGTCATTGAACCTATATACAAATGTAAAGTGGATTTCCACAACCTCAACTGAAATATACAAAATTTTATTAATGGACAATTCATATGCCACTCAGAGTCCAGACAGGGCAATGTGACTTCCCAAATGGTCTCACTACTGACAGGAGGGTGACCCAGCACTCAAACATCAAATGGAGGGAAAGAGTTGCATTGGGGAGTGCTATGGCTAATTACCTGCCTATTTTCCCCCGTTTCTGATGTTTTCCCTTTGTTTCCCAGTATTTCTATCCTGCCACTTGGTGGAACCCACATCCTCCTTATATATAGCCTTTCCACTTCTCAGTCAAACTCAGTGTGAAGTAAAAGGAGGAGCCTGTCCTCCCCAGGAAGAGGGGGATTTGCATGTGCCCAGCCTGTACTTAGAAACCTGCCAACATATAAGAAGGGGTGCCCAGCTACAGTCAGTTGACTGGACTCAGTAAGCAGATTCTGGGTGCCTTCACCATGAGTTGGACCCCACTGTTGCTCATCTTCCTCCATCACTTAATGGGTAAGTGGATTTAAGGAAAGTTACTCTAAATAAGTAATTTGGGATGTATAGACCATATTCTACCTGGTGAATAAGATTTGCTTGTCTTCACTGACTTTTATTATCTTTTTTGTTTAAGGATCATGTGCCCAGTTTGTGCTTACTCAGCCAAAGTCTGTGTCAGAGTCTCTAGGGAGAACAGTCACCATCTCCTGCAAATGCAGCAGTGGCAACATTGGGAGCTACTATGTGCACTGGTACCAGCAGCAATTTGGAAGCTCGCCCAAAGCTGTGATCTATGAAAACAATAAAAGACCATCTGGGGTTCCTGATAGGTTCTCTGGCTCCATTGACAGCTCCTCCAACTCAGCTTCACTGACCATCACTAATCTGCAGATTGAAGATGAGGCTGACTACTTCTGTCAGTCTTATGATAGTAACAGTCTGCACAGTGATGAAAATCATGGGGAAGTAAGACCAAAACACTGCAGAGAACCAGCTGTGAAATAATTTCAAAAAAGGACTACTGCTCTTTTATGTCTCCTTTTAAAGTCCTGATACTTTCCTCTATAATTTCTTCCTAGTTCCTTGCAAGATTCCACTTTCTCCTCCCACATAGGGATGGCTGGCCTCTTTGTTAATTTACATCCAATCCATGGAGTAGATATTGTTGAAAACAGGAATTATGGGACTTAAACACTACAGATTGTTTTCAGAGACTTCTTTACATGTGTGATATGCTATCATCATCTTTAACCATGAGTCACTTTTATATTTTCATGTTTCCCTCCTTTATGACATCACTAACTCTGTGTGTCTGTAATATTGGAAGGGCTACACATGGGTGAAAACACTGCTTCACAAAGTTGTTCTAATCTATTAAGGAGTCCCCTGCTTTTGACTCTCATGTCATTAATATATAAGTATGAGGTTTATCTCCCCCAGTTTCCTCCTTCAATTACTGAAAAAACAGGAGTACTGAATTAAAGTGTCTCTTCTGAGGAGAGTGGTCATATTCTAATGAGGACAAAGTCTTCATTACTAAATCCTGTAAAATACCCTACCAAAGTCTATAATGTAATGATACAGGAAGACCTAGTGTACATATCAATGTGAAAACCTGCATACAGTGGATATGCAACCATAGAGCTCTTCCATTGCATGAACTAACCTTTATCTGTAAAGCTCTGAATAGCATGACATTGGAATAATGAAAGGTGACAAAATATACTCAGTGAGCAGCCAAAGAAATACTGTATTGTTAATAATTATATCTCCAGGTGTGAGAAGCTCAAGCATTTAACCCTAGATCTTGGTGGACAGAAGGAGTTAGATGCAAAGGGAGGGGTATCTTTGTGAGGGTGTGACCAACCTGGACAGCAGAGTGAGTTCCAGGACAGCCAGGGCTGTGCAGAGAAACCAGTATCAAACAACCAAATATGCTCTCTCTCTCTCTCTCTCTCTCTCTCTCTCTCTCTCTCTCTCTCTCTCTCTCTCTCTCTCTCTCTCTCTCTCTCTCTGTGTGTGTGTGTGTGTGTGTGTGTGTGTGTGTGTGTGTGAGTGTGTGGTCTTAATTCATATCAGAAAGATAACTAATCATTAAATTCAATGTGCATCCCATTTGAGCATATACTGGATGGCAGTGAGAAAGAAAACAGATATGTCAAAAATTGAGTAAACTTTTTTCTTATCTTCTGATTTATTTTACTAAATGAATGAAAACCTTGTTTGCCTGGAATAGATTGATTTCTCACTCACAATATGTCTTCTTCACAATTGTTGACATTCATGTTATGTTATTTTCTGTATCCTAGATTATTAATACATTATACTCTTATTTTCTCCTTTCTGGTATCTTTCTGTTTTTTCTGATATAGGAAATGAGCTACTCATGGGAAGAGCAAGGAAATCACTAAGAGGAAATAGAGGCAATAATATAAAGAGTGGCATTACTTAGGTAAAACATGTAATGTCTTCTGCTGCAATGGTGATATTGAAGAATAAGGAAACAGTTCAGTTTAGCATGATCCGGCATGTGGGTCAGGAAGACTTGGAGAGAACTGTTTGTGCTAATAATTGAGCAAATGAACACAGCTGAGATGGCTCCAGTATCTGCTCAGGAATTTAAATGCTCCCAGGGCATCATGCATGGACAGACAAACCCTACTTTGGTAAAAAAACAATATGCAGACAACTCTGAAAAGCAAATTTTGTAAATATATTGAAAATGTATCTTACCACAGCAGTTTGCTAACAAGGTTTTTGTGGTATAAGGGACTGGAAGAGATTATGATTCTCCTGCATTATGGAGGCTCTGAGAAAATAAGCCAGGCAGTTTGGAATGGACCTGTCTTCTGAGATGGGCAACTGTGGAAGATATGTAATTTCAGTAAATGTGATGGTTGAGCTGTAGAGAAGAAAGGAGTAGATAGGAGCAGGAAAAGCAAGAGAACAACGTGGAGGAAAGATTTGAAAGCTAAAAATTGAGTGTCTGAAGTTCTTATCTATGACTCTTGATTGAACTCAGATGCAAAGAGCAGGAGCCAAGGTTAAAGAGAGGGATCTTAAGGAAATATGCACCGTGCCTCCAATTTTGTGGAATACAGGTTTTCAAAGTATGACCTGAAGATTCTCTGGATTTCTTCAATTTCTGTTCTTATGTCCACCTTTTCATTTCTGTTTTTGTTAATTTTCATGTTCTCTCTCTGCCTTTTAGCTAGTTTGGATAAAGGTTTGTCTATCTTGTTGATTTTCTCAGAGAACCAACACTTCTTTACATTAATTCTTTAAATTGTTTTGACTTCAATGTTTTCTGCCCCCCAGTTTGATTATTTCCTGGTGTCTACTCATTTGGGCTGAATTTGCTTCCATTTGTTCTAGAGCTTTCATCTGTAATGTCAAATCTCTAGTGTGACTATTCTCTAGTTTCTTCATGTGAGCACTTAGAGCTATGAACTTTCCTCTTAACACTGCTTTCAAAGTGTCTCATAAGTTTGGGTATGTTGTGTCTTATTTCATTGACTTATAGGAAGTCTTTAATTTCTTTATTTCTTCCTTGACCCAGGAATGGTGCAATTGCGTGTTGTTCAATTTTCATGAGTTGGTAGGTTTTCTGCAATTTGTGTTGTTTTTGAATTCTAACTTTAAAGCATGGTGGTCTGATAATACACAGGGGGTTATTCCAAATTTTTGTACCTGTTGAGGTTTTCCAAGTTGCAGAGTATGTGGTCAATTTTAGAGAAGATTCCATGTGATCCTGAAAAAAAATGTATATTCTTTTGGGTTTGGATGTAATGTTCTATAGATGTCTGTTAATCCCATTTGGGCCAAAACTTCTGTTAGTTCCTTTGTCTCTTTGTTAAGTTTCTGTCTGGTGGTCCTTGTCCAGTGGTGAGAGTGGGGTGTTGAAGTCTCCCACTATAACTCTGTGTTGTCTTATTTCTGATTTGAGTTTTAATAATGTTTCTTTTGCTAATATTGGTGCCTTTGTAATTGGGGCATAGATGTTTAGATTTGAGACTTCTTCCTAATGGATTTTTCCTGTGATGCATATGAAATGACCTTCATCTCTTTTGACCGATTTTAGTTTGAAGTCTAATTTGTTAGATACTAGGATAGTTACCTCAGCTCGATTCTTGGGTCCCTTTGATTGGAATATTTTATCCCAACCCTTCACTCTGAGGTAATGTCTGTCTTTGAAATTGAGTTGTGTTTCTTGTATGCAGTAGAAGGATGGATTCTGTCTTTGTATCCACTCTGTTAGCCTGTGTCTTTTTTTTCTTTTTTAGTTCAAATTAGGAGCAAGCTTGTTTCACATGTTGATCCCTTCTCCTTCTCCCTCCTCTCACCTCCATCCCTCCTCCCTCACCCTGACCTACTCCCCACCCCATCTGTCCTCCATTCCCCAGGCAGGGTAGGGCCCTCAACCATGTCTCTGAAAAGTCCACCACATCACCCTGGGCTAGGCTTGGGCCCTACCCCATGTGTTCAGGGCAAGAGTGCATCCTTTTATGTGGGATGGCCTCTCAAAGTCCCTTCTTACATCAGGGAAACATACTAATCCACTACCAGGGGTCCCTGGAGTGCAGAGGCCTCCTCATTGACATCCATCTTCAGGGGTCTGGATCATTCCTGTACTGGCCTTCCAGACAGCATCTGGGGTCTATGTGCTCCACCTTGTTCAGGCCAGCTGTTTCTGTGGGTTCCTCCAGCCTGGTACTGACCCCTTTGTATAGTGAGAAATTACCAATATGGAGCCAAGTGGAAATATAAGGGAAAAGCCTTACTTACAGAGCGACCTAGCCAGCCATCATGGCAGCAGTCTGTACACAAGCCAAAAAAGGGGAAACAAAACTGAAATGAAGCCTTGACCCTCTCCCTCTACGTCACCCTGACCACACCCTTTTAGGCATGGTAAGGCACACCTGTAGCCAGCCCCAAAGCAGGCATGGCTACAGGTTCACCTACAATTCCCCTTTTAGTCTAAAACAGGATTAAAACTTAACAGTGTAAAGTATCCAAAAGTAAAAATCATAAATGTGAAATATAAGAAGACACAACAATCTGCTTATGTCACATCCTAACTATCTATTTTAACTAAACCCTAAAGTCAACTGGAAGAGGTGTCCAAGCCTGAAAACCTCCTTCCAATCCCAACTATAGTGAGAAATTACCAATACGGAGTCAGGTAGAAATATAAGGGTATTTAATAGGGAAAAGCCTTACTTACAGAGCGACCTAGCCAGCCGGTGTGGCAGCAGTCTGTCCAGCAAGTACCAAAGTAAAACCGAAAGAGCAAACACAGTCACTCTATGTCACCCTAACCACACCCTTGCAGGCATGGTCAGACACACCTGTAGCCAGCACCTAAGCAGGCATGGCTACAGCTTCCCCTACAATTCCCCTTTTAGTCTAAAAGAGGATTAAAACTTAACACTTAAAAAGAGGATTAAAACTTAAAGTATCCAAAATTAACAATCATAAAGGTAAAATATAAGAAGATACAACAATCTGCTTATATCACATCCTAACTATCTATTTTAACTAAACCCTAAAGTCATCTGAGTTGTCCAAGCCTGAACACCTCCTTCTAATCCCAACCATAAACAATAGGAAGCTATCTCTAACTAGGTATACACACTATCCTAAGTGACAACAATGGGGAAAGGGGGCATAGCATCCTCCAAGTTACTTCCTGCTGAAATGGGATGACGATAGTCATGTGGGGTCCTGTAGGAAGAAAATGTTAGTATAGTGAAAGTCTTGAATGAATTGTAACCACTCCATGTTAGATGAGATTCACTTGACTGAAGATCTCGATTAAAATCCTCAACTTGATTGAAGTCAGTACCTGAACCTCTGGCCGGAGTGTCAGTTGAAATGGAGCAAGTTGGATCCAGTGCA